GGTTCCCAACATTCACTGGCCCATGGGAAGCCCCATGAGCAAGTAACATGCTGCATATAACATATGCTTTACTCTTTTGAGTAATCTTCATTTTAACTCTTTAATTTCTAGCAGCCACAAGCAACACAGAGGATTTTAGCAGTGGAATGGAGACCCCTTTACCTTGGTGTTAGAAACATAAATGTTTTTCCACTTTGTGTGAATTCATGAAGTTGTTATGTAGAAGTTATGGGTTTTTTTTGTATTCTCCAGTGTGAATGAATTTGGACCAGGGAGTCTTGGGGAAAAAATGAGGGATTTCTTTTTGTGTTTGCATAAAACATATTGTTGAAAATATCTCATGATTTTTCTGTTTAAAACAAAAAGAGTGTCATCACCTTCACTTCTTTCCATTAACTCAACTTGTTTTCAGCTTCAGCTGTGCAGTATTTATTACCTTCTATTGTCATATATTACACAGCTGCATTATGACAAGTTAAAAAAGAAACAAAAAACCCTCCAAAAACCAAACCCAGTCCAGAAGAGGAGCTAGTGGTAGGTGGGAGCAGTGCAATGACTAAAATGTCATTAAAAAGAAAGTGTTTGCTCAAGGATTGTAATGTCAAAGTTCCACTTTAGTTACAAGATTTCAAAGATTAAAATCAGAGGAAAAGTTTGAAATGTTTCAAAGACTGCAGCTTCAGTAACATTTATTTCCCATGAACTTTCATGAAGCTAAATTATGCAATTGGTTTGTATCAAGGCAACAAAGTCAGAAGGCTTGAAGTGAATTCAAGAGCAGGGATTTTCTGCCCCTGAATCAGTGTTTAGCATAGTCCATCTGAAAGTCTGCTGAACTGTAAGATGTGAATCCTATAATCTGCAGCTTTGACATTCACACTCTGCCCTCAGGAAAGTCACTTAAGCTAAAATGTTCAGTATATAATGTTTCCTTCAATTTAAATTGCTTGAAATTAGCAACCATCTTGGATAGTGTTGGCTGTAATTGCTGCCCGTCTCAGCCTCCTTTTTACAAAACCATCACAATAATAATATGTAGCAGCCATCTTGGTAAAGTGATCTGACATCTTTTGGAATAAATATACTGCCCAGGTAGTCAGCAGTAAGTGACTGCAAGTGTCAGCCGCCCTGAGGCTACTGGCCAAGTGATGTCTGCACTCCAGCAGCTGCTCCTCTCCCGGAACCGAGCGGGCTCCATCCAGGGCATGGTCTCCTAGACCAAGGAAGGGCACCCCCAGCCAGGGCCTTGCGTGTGTTTGAGCCATTTCTGAACTATGAGCATTTTGGCAGCCGGAAATACTCTGGGTCCATGGACCAGAATCATGCAGCAAGGCAGTGAAAAGTCGGGGTCTTTTAGTGCTAGCCCATCCCATGCGTTCTCTTGAGGATGCAGAACCTCCCAGATGAGACGCTAGTACCAAATCACGTGCAGCAATGACCACAGGGAGAAGGAACTGTCAAACAGTGTTTGCTGTGAAAATGGGTTCATATTCATCATTTTAAATGCTCAAAATCCCCTTGCAGGAACAAGCTGCAAGCCAATGTGTGCGTCTTGGGAGCAGAGCAATGTGCCACCCATATAGCAGTGAGACATAAATAATCATGCTACAAGTGATGTTTTCTATTAAACAGCCTGATATCAGCCTTTTCAAGCTGAAGAGAAATATTGTGTAAAAAGCAGGAATGGTAGGCATCTGATGTAAAGTAAGACCCCTGCATTGTGTCCCTGTTACATTAACCAACTAGCTGATTCAACCACTTCAGCAGAAACAGTGTTTAAATCACATTTGATTGTGATTTGCAAAATTGCCTCCTGACTAAGTGTGTACAGAGCCTGGATTGCTGTGTGTTTATTTCTAAAATAAATTGAATTAATTTTTTCTCCTTGTGATCATCCCTGATTCTCTGACTATTCTCTTAATAGTCTGCATATGAGCAAAGATACATTCAGGTTTTAGTGTCAGCAGTTGCTCACTGGATGGAAAAATGAAACAAGCCCAGCATTCCTTCACTTTAGAGGTGAGCCTCCAGATCTCTCCTTCTCCCATTCTCATTAAACAAAATCCCTGAAGTTTGTGCTCTGTTACTGCCTTTGAGTATGAGGAAGTGGTGCAGTGGATGACGCACAGACTGGCCTCCAGGGGAGCTGAGTACTGTTCCCAGCTCTGCCATTTACTGGGTAATATCCTGCGACTCATTTAACATTTTTGTGTCTCAGTTTCTCCAACTGTGAAAATGAGACTAATAATGGGCCCGCATTTGTCACTGAAATCAATGATAGATTCCTGTTGAATTCAGCGGGGCTTCAGAGCTTTGAGATCAGTGGAAGAGAATGCTAATTGTTGCTTTTAATACATTTTCCTCAGTTGTCATTCACTGGTTCTATCTCGCATGAGCATGATTCAGATTTATTGTTAGCCTCCTCCTTTGTTGTTTTGAAACATAACGTTTTTTACAGAAAATTTGGTTTATCAGCATTTTTATAATCCTCAGTTCTACTCACTCCTTTTTTAATGTTTTGTAAATATTTTTTTCCCTTAACTTCCTACAGTATAATGAAAACATACTTCTATACTCCCATGTAATGTAATACAAATGGAAGGGACAAGACAGGATTATTCAAAAATTCTCAGCTTATGAAATAATATGTATTAGTTGACATGCCCCAGAGAGATACAACTGACCAGCTGCTCTAGGTGAAACAAATAAATAGAAAAATCCCTTTATTAATAATGTACTATGCAGTAGATTGTATCTGGGGAATTCTATAGAAACGGACTCTTTCTCATCCCTTCCCTATAAATGAAATAAGGAGGACACTGAGTACTTAGGGGTTTGCTAGGTACATATGCAGTACGTAGATATATAAGGAATGGTCATATTCAAGGAGGTTTTCAGCTTTGGTAACCACTAAATCTTACATTTTCTTTGGCTTCCTTTAGTCAGCTAAAGACTGCGGGTGAGGCTTTCCAAATATAGACAACCAAAATTCTGACCAAATAATATACAGATTCTCAGGAGTGGATTAAGGCAGAATTCATGGATCTGGGCCTTGGGCTTGGAGGGGACCTGTATAACCACAGTGTTTGGATTGAAATATCGGGCAGTTTGGGCTCTAGTGTTAGATAGTGCTGCAGAGGTGGGAGGCAGAGCTGACAGGCTATGGAGGCGGTTGAGTCATGGGAATTATTAGTATAAGTTTGAATGTATTTGGTTAGTTTATTGCACCTCTCTGGCTTGTTTGAGGCATACTAGTTGACTTGACTCCAGGTCTTCTTTAGTGTTATTCTGCCCCAGCAGTGGATCACTTTGTCCTACAAATTGCAAATGTGCACAGAATGCACTCACTCTGCTTCTGATGCAGGATGGAAAACAGGCTAACTGGTGCAAACAGATGGACTTCTCCATACTAATATAGACCCATTTAATAATTTAGATTGGAAGGGACCTTTGGAGCTCCTTTGGTCCAATCATCTGCTCAAAGCCTTGCTAACTTTGAAGTTAGAGCATGTTGCTACAGACCTTTCAAGTCAGGTTTTGAATATCTGTAGGAATGGAGATTCTAAAGCATCTCTGGGCAGCCTGTTCTGGTGTTTGGCCAATCTCACTGTGAATAAATTTCCTTTTATGTGGTTGGAATTTCCCTTGCTGCAACTTGCATCCATTGCTGCTCATCCTTTTGCTATATACTTCTGAGAAGAGTTTAGTTCCATTTTCTCTATGACCACCAATTAGGTAGATGAAGACAGCGAGACCCTCCTCTTTAGTTTTCTCTTTTTGAGGCTGAACAAACCCAGCTTGCTCACTAGTCATGAGCTCCAGCCCTCTGTCCACCTTGGTGGCCCTGGGCTTGACTTGTTTCAGTTTGTCAGTGTCCCAGAGTTGGATATCGTCCTCCATATGTGGTCTCACAAGTGCTGAATAAAGGGGAATAATCACTTCCTTTGATTTGCTGGCTAAGTATGTTAATAATGCAGCCCAGTATGAGGTTGGCTTTTATCACTGCAAAGGTGCACTGCTAACTCATGTTCAGTTTGTCCTCCAGGATCCCAGATCCTTTTCTGCAAGGCTACTTTCTAAGTTGGCCTTCAGACTGTCACAGATGCAGAACTTCATATTTGCATTTGTTGAACGTTATGAATTCATGTATACCTTTATGCACAGAAAATCCTTTTGAACACACAGTATGTAACTGCAAGTAGTTATCTGCCTGTAGGTGTATCCACCAAGTTTATAAACACATTTTGCTAGCTTTTGTTGGCAATGTTGCCCCACTGTTTCCGGGGAACAGTAAAACAGTAAAATTCCCACCCCCGAACATATATGCAAGGGGTTCTATTTGGATACATTTAGAACACTTCTAATGATAAACTTTTCCTTTAGGTAGGGCTCTGTTTTGTTTTTCACTTGCTCTCCTTGACTTTTCCCATTCTTAGATAAGGCAGTGAGAACTGCATGAGGTATATTGGCATAATCAGTAACACCAGCGTGTCTGGACCTCAGGAGATAAGTCTGCACTGTATCAGCAGACGGCACCTAAGAATGCTTTTCAAAGAAAAAAAAGTTCCCGCTATCTTTTCAAGGGAGCTTCCTTCTGTTGTCTTTACTGGAGGTCAGATTGCTGGTCGGCCTCCTCCAGAGATGGAGAAATTCCTCAGAAGACCCCTTGGACTGCATTTCAGTTATATAGCAGGCTACACTGCCAAGCTATCCTGTGGCTTCCCAGAGGTGACGTGGTTTTGGAATCCCTTCTGCAGGTAAAAAGGAAAATCCTCCTTCTGGCAGTCCAGGGTGGAGAATGTGCCTAAAGGCATATCTAATTGATTTAGAGAGAGAGTCGAATGCTCTTTGTAAATAGTGTTTGCACAGTATAAATCTCTCATAAATAAGGCATCCTGAGGAATGTGTTAATCAGCAAGGAGTTACAGGGCAACATCAATCTTTAGTGACCAATAGCTGCAAAAGAGAAAACATTCAGAATAATTGGATGTTTACAGGCCTGAATGTTCAAAAGTTTATTTCACAATTAATGATGCAAAATAAGAATTCTAATTTTCAGAAGTGTTGCTGGACGCTAACAGTTTGAAAATCAGCTGAGGGGGTCTAAATAAGATCTCTTGAGCTTAACCTGTTTTTAAAAATAGAGCTGCTATTAAGATAGAATAAGACGGGTTGGAAAAACTCCAGGATTATTCAAATGCCAGACCCCGTTCTGGGTTTGGGCCTTGTGTAAATTTTGTTTGGTGTTTCCCAGGTCCATGAGATGTGATGTATCTGCCATTCTTGTGGGAGATCCTGTAGTTCATACCATTTTATTGTTCTTTCAGAGATCTGGAGTTCATCCACTATTTCCTGCAGAGAAAACCTTGGTAAAAATCATGTAGAGAATCCTAGTAAAAAGGACAGCATTTGGGTAAAAAATAAGTTATAAGTCTTATTCGAGCGAGCTAATAAAGACAATCAGTTATATCTTTATTGATTCCGGTTTATTTCCTATATAAAATAAGACTTTTTGCAGCCTTTGATAATTTAAACGCTTACCAGAATCTTTCACTGTTGTTATTGGGGGGAGCCGTAACAGTGTATCGTTGTTAGTTTAAGAATGAGAAGTTCTGTTACTGTAAATGGCAGAAAATTCAGAGAAAAATATGAGTAGAATTTAACCATTGTTAAGTGTAATTAATATATATGAAAAAAATCAAATGTTTGTTTTTCAGTTTCCTATCACATTTTCCATCTGTTCCCTGCAAAACTTTAAAAGTTGCCCTTCCTCTGTGCAGTTTTGTAATATTGCTATTCACAGGAAGTGAGAGGAAGAGCTTTATGAGGGATATGTTACAAATAGACTGCATGTAGGTGTTTGGATAAAATAGCAGGCCTCAGATCTGATCTGGTATAAATGGAAGACTCTTCAGTGGAAGTGTGCAGTTCAACTTGTTTGTGAGCTGCTGCTTCATCTTGCACTATTGATTATTTGTGTACAAATTATTGTTATTTCTTCCTAGTGCTTTTCATATCTTGATCTCAAAGCACCTTATCAAGCAGCAATAAAGTTCTTTACACTTTTTAGACTGATAATTGTAAGTACAATCTGTGCCTAAGAAGTAATTTTGTGACACAGGCCTAGAGTGGGGAGCAGAATTCACTGGTGTGCTGAGCCAGCTCCCTGTATTTCCAGTCCAACATACCATCAATATTTTGCTTCCCAGCTTCCCAGAGAAGACGAGAATTTCATAAACATAAGGAATAAAAGCAAAGGCCTCAACACCTTGTGAAAATAAGAATAAAGTGATCATTTACAGCTTTGGTTCTTCATTGCAAAGAGATTATTCATAGGACTCATGAATGTGACAAGAACATAGAGGCACCAGTGGAGTGCATTGTTCTGCTCAGCTTTCCCTCAGCAACAGCAGGAACCCAAAATCCCAGCACGGAGAGGGCTATTACTCACATAGTTCTGTAACAGCAAGCACTGAGGTTACTACAATGTATACATAGCAAGGCCATAGATACCTATCTGGGGCCACAGAGAGTCTTTTAAATTTTTCTTCCACCACTGAATCCAGCTAGAATCTTCTAGTGTGAAATTAGAGATGAGAGCCAAACTTCCTCTTCTCTAAACATTTCCCAAGATTGATGAGCTCAAACTCTGCATCAGGATCAACATCCAAGTTTTGCAAATGGCATCTGTCTTACTAATTAGCTGATCCAACCCCCGAGATCTCAAACTATGAATAGAAATATTCCATGACTTGAATCTATCTCCAGTCCAGCTACAGGATGCTCACTCTGTCTCTTACTGCTTACAGATTTTATTTTTCAGAAAAGTTAAAGAAAAAAAAAAGTCAGAAAAGCAGACTAGTTGAAGTGATTTCATTTTTTCCTGAAGGCATGAATCTATCCATTCACAAAGCTTTCCTCCCTCTCGTGTGATATCCTGCCTCCCCTTCCCCAGCCCACAGGTATAATAACAAAACAGCCTTGCAAGATGAGCCTTACAAATTCTATGAACACAAACCTGTAAATCTGGCACTTGAACAACCTCTATTATTTTTAACTGCTTTTGTGTAAGACAAGAGGCTAAGTAAAGAACAGGATGTTTTGAACGTTGAACTCTGGTGCATTACCTAATACTGTTGCTACAGATTTCATGTAATTTCTCTGCAGGTGTCAAAGGCATCGTAGAGCCTATTACTGGGACATTAGACAACATTTGGCATATATAAGCCTAGCGCGCTTACTGATAGTTCTTTGATGAACTACCACAGAAATGCCAAGTTGTGCTACAATTTCAATCAAAATACAGCCTATTCTTGCAGTCCTTTTAGATTTCGTTTGCTTTTTAAATGACTGTTGAAAGGATACTTAATACACTTCTGTTACTCCCCCCTTCTTTTTAGGAGGTGCGTGAAGTGAGCAACCCGTGTGTTCCCTGTAATATGGGGCTCTTGCCTCTTCCTTTTGCAGGACGAATGAAGTAAGGAAGGATAACTGCATCCCACTGCCCTTGGCAGGATTGCTCTGTAGCCGCGTTCTGAGCTGCTAGTCTTGTCTGAATCCCTCAGGGAGCTTCACTGATATAGAAAGTAATCCTTCCAAACAGTGCAGGTGTCAGAGCTCTATCTGCATAAGGAGGAGGCTTGGCAGAGTCTCGTGTGGAAATTTACCCAACATCTGCCCACACAATAGCTGGCCGGTGTTGTCCTTCCTTTTGTTTTCAGGTGCACTGAAATTTGCATAGAAGAAAAAATCAAGAAAAGAAGTGGATGCAAGATTCTAATGCGCAGTTAAAAGGAAGTTGTATTTGGAAATGTGAAGCATCATTTCTTCTACAGGCAATTTTTCTTTAATTTTACCTGGTGTCTTGCAAGAGGGCATGCTGAGTTAGGGGGACCCTCAAAGAAAGAAGGTATTACCACATTTTAGTAAGATTATCAGTTGATTTTGTCTTTTTTTTTGAATTTTTTCAGTGGAATTGTCCTTTGTGGTCTTACTAATGATAAACCTGAGGTTAAATATACACTTATGATGCACGTGTAAGCAAGGACTTGAATTTACATTGTAAAAACGTGAATAAAACTAAAGTGGAAGCACATCGTTGTTGGGAGTTTGGAGCACTGAGGGGGGCAATTCCTCTCTCTCTCGGTGATTCATTTTCAGCACCCTTTTCATGCTTCACTCATTTTATGTCCTGGCTCCTAGATACATTCCTCCATGGTCACTTAGCTTTGTCTGCTATCGTCTTACCATCACACACGGTTCTTTACAGACAGCTATTATCAGCTTTATGCTCACTTATTGTCAAATTAGTGTCATTATTGTGGTGGATGAGCTAAGAACTGTGCTGTTCTTGGTGTCCCCTGAGTATCGTCTTTCCCTTGAGCCACTGATTCAACACTGGGTGGGAAAAGTCACATTCCTAACTAAACGGAGCTACTATCTAATGAGACTTGTCCGTGTTGCCTTTCTGCATAGAAATGCTGGCCGTTGAAAACACCTGTTCGGTTACCCAGTTCGTATTTCCATCAGTCTAAGGCAAGTTCCTGTTGTACATTTACCAGTGCATTGGCCAGCCTAATTTTAAATAATCAGTCTCTGAGGTTATTTTGATCCTCTTCTTGCCATCCTGATTTGATACACTTGTTTTGAGTCCATTTTGTCCAGCTGTAAATGATTGTACATGGCATAAAGCAATGGAGAGCATACTTGGAAAGGGGAGGAGGGAGGGAGGCGGGTAGCATAGGCATGGGCTTGAAACCAAAACGAAATATTGAAATTAGAAACAGTGTGCCTCCTTCTGGTGGACACATAAGAGCTAGTGATGTGACACTTTTTCCTCTTGCCTGACCCTTTTCTCATTGCAGATGCTTCTTTGCTGGGGGTTTGCTGTGATTTCTTGTTGCCCTTCATCTAAAGTAACGATCTCAGACTTGTGCCTCCAAAGTTTGAAAGCTCATTATAAAATTTGGCCCCAAGAATACTCACATTTACTTTAATTGTTTCATTATATATGCTTACGTATGTTCTTCTTAATCAGAATCTGAGTGCCTTGTAACTTGCAGGACTGATTTACCCTGGAGAGAAGGGAGCTTACTATCCAGTCAGTGGGGTGCTCGGGAAAGTCAAGTCCCGTATAAGACTAGCTGTTATATTGCCCGGCCTAATGGCTTTATTTCAACTCTATTGATATTTGATTTTTTTTAAAGCCTCCATTCCTTAAATCATATGACACGTCGAGAATCAGCATTCCTTTTTAAAAATAAAACTTTCATACACTTAAGTTGAGTTGGGAAGGTTTAAAAGTATGAGTTAAAAGCCCATCAAGTAGGAAACAAGAAAGGACCCTGCATATATTCTTTGGAAAATCTTAAGACTATTTTCATGGAGCCTCATGATTTTTTGCAGCTTTGAGTCACAATTTTTGGAAATTTGGAACAGCTGACAATATTTCCAGCCATTTAAGGTGCTACCATTTAACCTAGATCGTACCATTGCCAGAGGATAGCTGCTCTGGCAACAGAGAGTCTTTGTAATGCATAGCCCATCTTTTACAGTGCATAGCACAATGGGGCCTGGAGCCATTGTTGAGAATTTTAGGCACAACTGCAATAAAAACAATAAATAAATGAGGCATCTCATTCTACTCTGAGATATCTGTATAGAGCTGCTGTTAAAGTGCACATTTGCAAATAAAAGCAGCCTAAATTTAACTGTGACTCATTTACACTAAATCTGACCCATTTTTCTTCTATGTTTCAATTTAACACTTATTTATTTGGCACCGTTGGATGAGAGGGGAGGGGGAGCAGGCATTTTGGTCCTCAGAATTGCTATAAAAAAATTGGTGATTAGGAAAACATAGCTATAGTCAGCTGGAAGCTGGGTAGCTCATTTGAACCTACTATAAAAGAAAAGATCCTTTTCTCATCCTATTAAAACTCAGTTAGCAACGGCTGTGTAGGCGGCAGGAGATCAGAAATGAATGTCCAACTTGGAGTTTGTACAACTGGGGTCAGATCCAAAGCAAACTGCCTGATTAGCGAAACAATTTGTATTTTACAATGACAGCAAATAGGTAAATCTAAAGCGAGTCAGGAAATCCTACAGGATTTGGAATCAGAGCACTGGCTGGTTTGCAGGTTGCACTTTGATTAGAAGGCGTCATTGCCTCTGCTTTTTCACACTCCTATTCCAGTGACATAAACAAGAGGGATTCAATCTGCTGAGGGTATTTCTCTCTCTCTTGTTTTTACAGTCTGCATGTAATGACTAATTGGCTGTGTTTTCCCAGCTATTTTATGTTTCTCTTGCTCTGGTTACAAGTCGTACTAAACTAGTATATCCGCAGGGACCTATAGACAGCCAACATTTTCAAATGATATGCAGTATTCCCCTTTCTTTTTAAGTGTAAAACATTTACAAGTAAATTTACAAACGCATTAAGAACATTTCCCTGGCCGACTATTAGTGTTTATTTCTTCCCTTTCTTCTTCTGGGAGCTAACACCTCGCAGCCCCTCACCTTTCGCACACTGCTCTCCCGTTATTTGTCCTCTTCCCTCCCGGTTCCCCCGCCTTTCCCTCCTCTCCCTCCTCCTCCTTTTTTTTTCCAGCTTAGCAGCACAAATTTCTGTTTGTGCCAGTGGGGCGGCCTGGCGAGACCGCAATTGCTCTACCCCACAGATTGACGAGCCCTCAGATGCCGATTTACTGTACATGGCAGCCACGCTGGAGCCGAGGCACATCTGGAGTGGAGTAAGCTTACTCAGAAACAGGGGCCAGCTCCAGCCGGAGCCAGTGGAGCTGAGCGCGGCGCTGAAAGGCAGCCCTCCTGCCTCCCCCTTCCCTCGTCCCTGGGTGGATTTCCTAATGTAAACAGAGGCGAGGGGGGAGAGCGCAGTAACTCTTTGCTGCGTGTTTGTCATTTACTGTTCTTTATCTGCTCGAGGTCAGGACAGAGCTTTAGAAAAACAGAAGCGTTGCTTTGCTTCGAAATAGCTAAAAGGCAGCGCTGCTAAAGGGAAAAAAAGAAAGGGTTTTTCTTTTGTGTTTATTTGTTCCACTTTATGGTAATTTGGGGGATAATTTCATTATCTGCAGCCAAATTGAAAACAAGCTGTTGTCTATGCTAATGATACCAGCGTATTATTTTATGTGCAGTAGGCGTGGAGCTCTTTAAACCACAAGTGGACTGAATTTCTGGTTACAGCTGCACTGCTTTAACCTTTTTTTTATAGTCGCAAAATGAGACTTTCCTTTTATTATCTGGAAACCGAAAGGATTATGGATGGCTGCTTTGTGTTACAAAATGGCACATACCTTTCCACGGCCTGGTGCCAACCTGCTGTCCAGTGAACGCGTTTTAGCTACATTACTGCAAAGAAAAATCATGCTCATTTTGGGGCAGATAGATAGATAGGCTGATTTTATAATCAAATCCGTGGGACCACTGAACTCCAGTCTCTGTAAAGAAATAGATTTTTGAACCGTTCACTGACTGCCAGCAATCTTGATGGGTACTCTGTAACTCTTTTCAGGTTTAATATGGGTTTTGTTTCTTGTTTTTAAATAGTAAAGTGATAAAGTTTGTAGGTTAGTGTTGAGATGACATTAAAATGACAAGCATGCGATTAAAAAAGGCATTACCTTACTCAGTAGTCCTCACAACCTAATGGATTTTACAGTGAAAAGGAGAGAAAACAAACATCAGAAAGACAGCAGTGAGGACATTGCTACTGATAACATATTGATGCATGCTATGTTGACTTAGCTGTCATAGTATTTTACCATAGTAAAATTCTTGTTCAGGTGAAAGCAATGGTTTAGTAGTAGGCAGACGGTTGAACAATTCTGCTCAGTTAATTTATGAATTAACTAGTGTGTGTCAGCCCCCCAAACATTTTTTGTACAGGAATAGAAAATCTTTCACTGGTCACTGTACCTTTTTCGTGGGTTGTAGCTTCATTGTCTCCTCTCAGTTCACAAGTCATGCTCTATAGTTCTGCCTTTTGGTGGATTAAGTTGTGACCTTACATATGAGAAGGTGGCTCCCATTAATCTTGATGGGAGCCTGGCCTATATATCAGGAGAATTTGGCCTGGGCAATGAGTGAGGTAACTCCCAGCGTGGCTGGGCAGCAGTTTTTGCATGATGATAGTGCAAGCTGCAACAGTGCATCCCCTCACGGAACTCTTACGACTCTTATGATTGCTGTTTTGTCATTTGTGCTGAAATGCAATAATATTTGTATAAGAGAAAGCAATGTAAGTTGCATACTTCTGTATTATTGTTTTTAATGGGTGCTGTTTTGGATGATTGTAATAATTTCCTATAATTATATTTTACTATCCCGCATACTCAAATCCCAGTAGAAGAGGGCCAAAATTCCTCATGAACCACCTTGGCAAGGCAGGTGTAAGAATCCTTCTCATTTAGTGAAGCATTGGGCATTACTTCCCTAGGACTGCTTAAAACCACCAGAGATGAAGCTCAGTAAGGAGAGGACTGACTGTCTGGTGTAGGTATTCGTCAGTCCAGAAAGAAGGAACAGTGCTCCTCCAAGTTCTTGAATGACCTTTCTGTGCCTGAAACCAGATGCATCATGGCTCCAGGGATACATCCAGGGATGGTACACGTTTTGTGGTAGGACTCTTGCGAGCTAAGTGATTACCAAGGTAGATAAAAAGGTTTATTTTGGATGGAAAGATCAATTTGGAAAAAAAACCAAACCCCATATTCCTGCACAAAAAAGCTGATGGAACCGTTCTCAAAAGTAAAGATAAATGGCAAACTTTAGAGAGACCTTGGCAGCTTACTGAAATCTAAACTTTTCACGGGGACGGTTAGATTTCAGCTAAGTTATGCTGGAGCCCTGCAGGGCTCCAGAGGACTCCTGCCTGGCAGACAGACTGTTGCTCAACTCCCGATCTGCCGGGGCAGAGGATTGATGGCCTGTCATTGCAGGATGGCCCACCAAGTAGCCTACCTTTGAACTAGAGACCTCAGGGCTTCCAGGTTTCAAAACTGGGACAACAGTTATTTTGAAACTTTGTTGATATGTTTTGATATGCATTGGAAATATTTTGATTTCAAAGAATTAGCAAATCCTGACTCCAGAAAATGTTCCATAGAAGTTTTTTGAACAGCTCTATTCCAGACTAAGTTTAATGACCTTGAAGGGAAAAAATAAAAGCTTCCTCCATAAATAAAATGGAAACAAAACAAAGTCCAGTGAATAACTCTGAAGCAAGGTATCTCTGACCTTATTTACTGGGCATCCCTACCTGTAATCAGTCTGGTGTCCTTGGACCTCCAGTAAACCAGTCTGGGTTCTGTCACACAGCTCTAACCTTAATTTTAAACATGATATCCTGATAGTAATTGTTTAATTTTTTCCCCCTTTTCCATTTAGTGCACATTTGAAGTTGATTCAACTCCTTGTTTTGCACTAACGCCAAAGGAGTTCATGATGTCTAGAAATGAAATCTTCTTGGTAGATGACTATGTATCCTGCTGGTTATGCTATTGTGATTATATTAATAGCATGTTCTCCAACTTAAGCAATGTGCAGGTGCAAAACTCTCCTTCAGCAGTACATAACTCTTTCATCTGCCATTTCTTGCCAGTAGATTTCCTGCCCATATGAATGTTTCTTGTGAAATTTCTGGAGAATAGCTGCTGGGGTTTTGCCAGTTGTAAAAAAAAAAAAAACACACACACACACAAAAAACAAATAGACAAACAACCCCCTTCCAAAGCTCAACAACCTCCCTGCCCCCAATCCTGTCTCTTGGAAACCTCCGCTATTCGTAGTAAATGTTCTACGTGTAACAAAAAAAAGACCAGTCATGAAAAAATAAACATTCTGGATTAATGTAGCAAAGGTAAAAGTAAAAAATTACTGGAGTTGCACGGTGCCAATAATGTCACCAGAGCCTACCTGTGTATTGATATATGCCTTTGGCTCATGTGGGTGCATCACTTTAAATATATGCCTATGCCTGTCCTTACTCAGTGAATTGAAAGGAGAATTTGCCATGGCAAGTAATAATTGGTTTTTAAAGAGACTTCAATGCAGCATTTTTCTTCAGGCAAATAAAACTTTGGGACATGAACACATGCTAAAGCAGCAGCACTATTCCATTATTCCAGTGGGCTTCATGTATTGCGACCGTCATCCAGAAATGAAGGCAGAAGAGCACTTTGACAAAGGGAAGCATCTTACGTTTTTGAGAAGTGTACCAGCAGCTGTTAGTCTACAAAAATATATATGTGTGAGAAAGGGTCAGTTAAACTAAGTCAACTATTAATATTACACTTTAAAGGGCAATATATATCTGTAACATCTAAAGAAACTGAGAAATCTGCCTAAAAGTAAAAAAGAGACTTCCAGCTTCAAGTGTGTCATTTCCTTTCAATGTGATTATTTACATTATATCTGTTCTATGCGTTGTGCAAACTATGTTGTTGACATTTGAACGGTGTTTCAGTGTAAGATTATGGCATTTGTGAAACAGTTAAAACACCGACATTTGTAATATTTTAGACCCCAGCATAAACTGTTGTACTTTGAAAAATTATTATATTGTATCTCTTTTGCCTCCTTTCAGTGTTTTGTTTTGTTTAATCAGTAGAGGATTCATTGAACAGGAACCTGCCATTTGTTTATTGGCGTTTCTCAGAAGAATAAGAACAGTTGTCGATTATATATTTCTCCAACAAAAATATATGCTCAATACTTAAATGTTCAGTTTATAATTCCACCCCAAATATACATGTATCCTAAAAATAAACCACAATAAATGTTAGACTAAGCAAAAATGAAGAAAGGCAAAAGAAGGAAGCAGAGAAAAAAAGGAAAGAATTGTGAAAAGGAAACCACAAAAATAAAAATGCAGGCAATAAGGAATATATTGGATGTGGAAAAAGAGCTTAAAGATACAGTCAGGAGAGAGAAAGGAAACTACCTACAAAATAGTTGCAAAATCAGAATTTATTATTACCAGACAGGTGGAATTATGATCACAGTCATTGCAGTCAAGTCAGGTGTACTGAAACACAGCAAATAAAAAACAAAGGGCTTTTAAAAGTCCAGGATTAAAGAAAGATTCCCAAGTATTTCAGAGATCGTTGCTTTAGCCCTTAATGATAAATAATCACCTCTGATCAGACTTTATAAAGGCTTTACATATAGTCTCTATAAATTTTAAATAGCATTATAGAAATAAGACTTCGGATTTTCTGAAGAACGATCCCTTTCTCTCAGCTTTTTCTGAAGGAAAACAACTGACTTGGGAATACTATTTTGCGAAAGAGAATCTAACTCATTTAGGATCAGGCTGATGTTTTGAATCACTATAAATTTAAGAAGCGTTTTGGTTGGGGCTCCAAGCTGGACCCATCTCTAATTCTGGAAACGTAGTGCATCTCTCATGCAGAGCATGACTGAAATGCACCAATTTAAATTATTCCTGTATGTGTCCTGAATTTGGACAAACTTGATGCCCTGTAGTAGAATCCACACAACCACAGGACACAGTTGGATTTATCGGCAAGCGTGTAGAGCTCTTCTTAATCACAGTGGATTGTACAAGTGTAACAAAGGGCAGAATTGTACTTGCTATTTTTCATTAATTTTATTAAAGTAAAGCTCAGTTGTGGAATGAATGTGTTCTTCATTAGCAAAAGCACTCCCATATTATTTTTCCAACAAAACTTGCAAAATATTACGTTACTTTTTGGTGCAGTGAACTACTGAACTACCACTTCCTAACAGAAAAGAGCTGTAATTGAATCACTAGTAAAAGGGGCAGGAAATTAGATAAAAGGGTAACACTAGTTTTACATACCCAAATGAAAAGGTGTTAGTTTTAAATACATAGCCTTCCAATATAGTTTTCAAATCTTAAGAAGTGTCCGACTTTTGTTACTGAAATTCTGCACTAAGTTAAGTGACAGTGCTGCTTAAGTAATGCAAGTGGCTATCAAAAAAGAGAGTGAAAATTCTCATATCCTGGTAGGCATCGTGGTATCTTTGAAACTTCGGACTTGCATGATTGTAGCATGATTATTGGTAGGGTAAAGATATATTTTATGATTATTATGTAATAAGACACTCTTCAGCAGAAGCCAGCATTGTAACCAGATAAATATTCTTGCTTGTGTTGCCTGAAAGACTCTGGTAGAAACAGCTTTTTAAATCTGTATAACAAACATAGCGGAGAGAAGACCGTTTTGAACCGTCACTTCTCGTAGTGAGGAGGAGTTGTAAAATCATGAGAACATGCCAACGGAGTGGGTGGGAATTATCCCAACTAACTGTAGCCACCTGTTTCAAGAGTATACCTATTTTAAGTTTCCTTTACCATCAGTGGAGGAAGAGAGATCTCCATAAGGTGAGCTGTATTTTTAGCTCCTTAAATTGTCGGATGCTGGAGTCTCTCTCTTTTTCTCCGTTGATTATAAAGGGCATTTAGGGTTCCTACATTCCATAGGTAGCTGCTGCCATGCAGCGCCCATAGTTAAGTGGGATGGAGCTGATGATACTTCCAGTGTGCAGTAGGACATGGAATTACAGAGCTAAATAACAAATGCACTTCTTAGTCCACTCTAGGAAATGCTAAAGTAAACTTCACTAGGTTAGCACTAAGTTAAACCCCACTGCCAGGAGAGGAGGAGAGAGAGGAAAGAGAGCGCATCCTGGGTGAAGAAATAAAACATTTTCTCAGATGCTTACTCAATAGTATTGTGCTTCAGGCTCAGGATGTTGCTTCATTGTCAAGTGGCTGATCTTTCCTTGTCATGCTTTCCTATTGTTCTCAATTCCTTAAATAATCCTGGCTTTCAGCTGCATTTCTCATCCATTTAATTCATTTTCAAAAACCCTGAAAAATAGAGATTAGTTTAGCAGATCAGGAATGAATTAGAAAAAAATGTTACATAATGGGCCTATTTAAACTACACAGTAGCAACTTACTTTTACATAGTAATAAAGATGCAGTTAATAGTTCCATTTTATTTAGCTACTAAATTCTGATTACGTTTCTGCTGCTTTATTTCAGAGATTGACCCCAGTGCAACGACTGCATTGTTCTTTGCTCGTTAATCACTATTACTTCGTCTCCTTTGAACTGTTGTGAAGTTTCAGAACATCAGCAGTCCTTTGGCAGACAGATGAACGTGTTGATCCATTAGATCTTTCAGGCTGTATGGTTTAGACAAACTTTTACTATTATAATGGCTTACAGACATTAGAGGCTTATCTTGGGGCTTCACTGTGCAGTCCATATCACAGCAGCTCTTAGGTAGCACTCCACTGATGTCAATTTGTTCTGTGCAAATAGTGCAAGAATAGCATAGTGCCAGTGATTATACAGACAGCATTTGTCAATAGTTTCCAGATCAGTATACTTGAAGTTAAAATAGGAAATAAAAATGGTATTACATGTTAACATCTCAGGTATGTTTTG